CGAATCAAGAAGAAACTATTAAAAAAGAAGAGAAATTGTTAGATAACAAGTATCTAATATCACAATCGGCATCAAATAAAACAGTCCATAACCAATAACAGCGGATTTCAATATCAAAATAAGACAATATTGTGAGGGCATCGTCATCTGCTCTGTAAGCTAACGCGCGTACGGTCGAAGCATTCCATCTAGTACGCACGCTTCTAGATTCTGTGACTGATGCCGCTGTCCTGGTGGCCTCCTGATTAGTTCGCCATATCGTGTTGATGAAAGTGAGGTTAACCGAGGATGATTTATCCAAGCAAATGCGATAAACGAAATGGAGGTTCAATGTATGTCTACGAGTAGAGAGAACGAAATTTTCGAAACGAGATAGACGAAAGACCGACGTGACTTGTATTTCCTCGGCGTCGACTCCGGGTAAATGTAACAGTCCGGGCACAGTTTGCATAAATAAATGAAAGTATCCGTGTTCTCAGGTGTGTATCTGTTTATATATACAGTAAGATTAAAATCACTGTTGATCCTCGCTTTCTGGTCATGTTCGTTCGCCCGCTACGCATGTATATTTTGTTTGTCTTCAATGTATCTGTCAAATCTCAGCCCTCCTGTGGAATTTAAAATAACTATTACACAGACAGGACAGTTGCCAATAATATCTACCTTGATTGTTTGTTACACTAGTGGGGTAACGATGCAACTACGTATATGTACCCCGGGTATGCACCCCTACGCACAGTCGATCCAACTGGACCACGGCGGCGATCTAGCGTAGTGTAGTGCAAGGCCGCGGTGGACACCGATACGGCGTACCAGTCACGGTGTGTCGTTTGCTCAGGCGATCACTGCAATGCTACTCCACACCACACATCAGTCACTCATTCACTCGCAATGTAAATGAGCTCAATACAATAATATTTGATGGATTAAAACTAGTTTCTTTCTTAGTTTGCCATTAGAGATTATGGAAACAATTTCCAGAAAGACATTTTAAATTATTCAGATTCACTGTACTAGATTTTAGATAATGAACTCCCCGACAACCCATAATGGACTCAAGCACACTTTGTGCTCCATATATGTACTCGGCTCACGACTCGTACATATATGTCACACAAAGTGAGCTTTCGCCCATTATGGGTTGGCGGGTCGTTCATTATTGTTTAAATACAGAATTGTCAGATAAAGTTATTAGGAAATTGTGATACTGTATTATTTTATCCAGCACGAGAGGACAAATTAGCACACATTCACTGCTGTATTTTATACCGTGCAGGTTCTGTAACACAACCTAAGTTACATTACAAGTTTATACGCACAAATATTTTGTACGTGCTGAAAATGACCTCCGTTGACCCTATTACGTACAATGGCGGTCAACTGATTGAACTGTGTGCAGGCTATCGGAAAATGAATAACATCATAGATACATCACCATTAAATACGGTTATTGCATTTAATAAAATAAGAAAAGATAACAACAATCACCACCAGGCATCACGCAGTTACTGTACCGACGGTTTTGAGCTCCACGTTAGCAGCCTCAAAACGGTAACAACTGACTGACGCACCGACCATCACTAGTTTACATAATTAAACACAGTTCATGTATATTTTGCTATTGAGGGTCACTTCAACAAAGAAAAACAACTGCAACACATAGAGTGTTCACTTTGTTGGGAATAATTACGAACAAAAATGTAAATTTACTCACGTTTCCTCGTAAACTCAACCCGAAATAACAAAGATGGCGGATGCCGGTAACAGCGCCTGCGCAGTCAGTTTATATATTCATAATCACGCGAGACCTTGTGAGTTCTCGGTGAGCTCTTTCGTGGCGTTTTTAAATTTGTTTACTTGCAATATTCAGTCTATTTTGAACTGAGATAATGTCGACTAACAACATCACTGTGGATGATATAATTGCCGATTCAAGACCCGATTCAATATATCATCAAGAATCCAGCGATGAGGTAATTCTCGATGCTTATGGGAAGGTTTCATTGATGGGGGCGGTGGTGTCACTTTAAGTTTAATGCATGGAGCTTAATGCAAATAACATGATGGGGACTGTCGCTTTTGTCACGACGAACGAAATAACCGACAGCGAAACCAAGCGAGCTACAGAACTGCAGCTATATGGGGACGTGCCACACTTTGGTGTCGTAATTTTTAGCTGTTTGGTCTCGAATGAGATATAGATTTGCTTGCCTTTTGGTTCAATATCAGGTTTGCCGGTCTACATGTAGAATGGGGCACAGGCGCCTGTGGAATGGGGTCTAGTTTTCAGAACAGGGGGCTCAAGAAATAATCAGTAAATAATAACAAATATCCAAAATATTATCAATGTCCACAAAATAGTGGTTGACCTCTTGAGTTTACTGATCATTTTCTGGTCCTCCTGCAATTTCAGTCTCTGATCTCTTTGCCTTGAACAACTTTTTGTGAATCAAATAAAATGCTGCATGTTGAAAATAAAGTACTCTAGTTTTGTTCTTATTTCCCTTGGATGATCATTCATTCAGAGTGCTTGGTTCGAGTGATGAGTAGATTCAACCTATAACTAAATAAATTTTGTGACAATCTGGTCTTTGATGGGGTATACCATGAAGGTAATAAGAAATTATTTATTAAGAAATTATTACCTCCATGGGTATACAAAATCACTATTTGGTCTATAACAGGATGATAAATGAAGATGTAAACAATAGTCACATAACCACGAGAGGCGGGAGAAAGAGGTCATGACCTCTGTTTTTGTAGTTTTGTTGTCTCCTTCGTTTCTGTTTCATTTAGATTTCTTTCCATAGTTCTGTCAAAATTGTTTATATCATCGCATGCTTATTTTTGCTGTTTTGTTTTGTTTTTATTTATTTATTTATTTATGGCTCCCCTTTTACATCAGGGGCTCACTAATAAGTAATTAGGAGCTGCAATAAACTTATTGGAAAAAGCACATACTATATAAATGAAAAAATAAACAGACAATTTAAAACGTAAAGGAAGTACAAAAATGAAATGTTTTTGTACATACATGTATTTATTGATTTATTTATCTTTTTGTTTAGACCTGACGAAGCTCATACGTGAGCGAAACGTTGCAAATAAAGTGTGTACAGTTAAAGTGGTTATTTGCTTCCATTTTTGTTCTTTCACCCATTTATTTGTAGCCTGTGCATCCCTCTTGAACCCCACTATTGTCGAACTTGCCATGGTGTTAGTACTTGCTCTTCTACTTGTATTTGTTTACATGAAGTGAGAGCACGCGCTGTGGGATGCTGTTCTTTAATATCATATACATGTATTACCCATAAATGCCCTGATGGCCAATGAGTTATAATATATGGAGGTGCAAATGGAACTGTATCTCAAAAAGATTTCACACAAGTGGTATGAAGCAAGGGTGTTACATTTCACCAATGCTATTCAATGTTTTTTTGAATGATCTCCCAGAAATATTTGGTGTTTACAGTGACAGACCAATTATGCTTAGTAAAAGTGAACTGTATTTAAAGCGAGAGGGTCTTCACTTGCGCGCACGCGCGGAAATTGAGTCCCAATCGATTATAACAACACACGTTAAAAACACAAGGGCTCATGGGTAGACGCTTGTTTGTAAACAAAGATACGCTATTGCCATCTGACACATGCGCAGGTGACGAAACCCCCGCTTTGACATGTGGATGATTTAGTACTCTTGTCAGAAACTGCAGATGTTCTTCATAACTGCTTAATAAACATAACAAAACAAAGGCTATGATTTTTGCATGGTCTAGTAAGACATTAAGGACAAGAGTAGGTGGCTAATTATCATGCAGCAATCTTCTATGGACAACTTTTCCATGTACGATAAGCTTACTGAAAATTCTTTTCTTTTTAAATCCATGTAGAACATTGATAGAAGAATTAAAGAAATAAAATATGTGAGAAAAATGAACGAAGAAAGCCCTGGTTGCTCTACTGTTGACTTGCATCCAGCTCATGTTGTGGCTAGCACTGAATATTCTGTCGAATGCAGAGCAGATGATGGTTGTGAGAGCTCCCTTGGAAAAGAGGAAAGCACTCAGAGAGGTGAATGTATCCATAACTTGAGACAACCTAAACCTGGAAAGCCTGATTCTGTACAACGTGCAAGAAAAAGACAGATTCCACAGCAGCTTGTCGATGTTAGAGAACCTCTAAAAGATATGAATTGTACTGCAGAAAAGACAATCGAATCATTGCCTAATAACAAGGTCAGTATGGCAATGTATCGTAGCAGGTCAACTCGACCCCAAGTCAACTCAACCCCCATATAAGTGTAGGTATTGTCCATATGTCTGTGTCGGTGACACACTGCGTGTGCTGTCCCACAAAAACACTTGAAGATTTCCCAGAATAGATATGAAGCAGATCTATTTAGTTTAGTAAAGTGAGTGGCATGAAACTACTTATCGATACACTTGTCCACCCAACTTCTGTTGCACGATTGTGAAGCTGCTAGGACGGGCGCCATGTTGTTTGTTCGCTTGCTTTAGTGTACGTAAGTTAGTGAAATCATCAACGTACTAGCTACATGTATAAACAATAGCGCACACAAGTATATCTTAAGTAGGTGAAATCGATA